TTGAGCGGTGTTGGAGATAATTGGCTCTGGAGCGTGGATTATCACGCTGCGTGTCCTGCCTAAGATGGTCTCGTAGAACGCGTGGAGCTTCTGGATCTCTATGAGTTGCCTTTGCATGTGGCGAGCCAAGTTCTCAATTCTAACTTCTTGTTTTTCGAGTCGAGAGATTGCTGCCTTGAAACCATCAGGCGGAGCATCCGTCTGAAAACCTGTGGGTTGCTGATTTACTTTGCGGCTGTCCTTTTTGGGCTTGGGGTTTCCTCTGTTTTCCCCGACCTCTTTAGGATTTATCTTGATTCTATTGAATTGTACAGCACATTGAGTCGGCTGATGCGGTGAAACAGGCGCGGTTGATTTTATGGAACTGTTGTTTTGTTGTTTCACAGCAGTTTGGTTCTGAGGGACAACTGTTGATTGACTCTGTGTCGTCTGTTGTATACTCTGCTTGGTTCGGGGTATGGGTGCTTCAGGCGGATTGCCGTTGCGAGTCTTTTTCGGACTCGCGGTATGGGTATTGGGTGTCGAGTGATCCAAAGGGCTCCTCAGAAGCGACGATTTACCTTTATGGTTGGATAGTGTTTTCCGAGTAGCGTTGGTTGGTTGACCAGGTGGTGATTTGAGTGATGACTCGCTTACGCGTAGCGTTTGCCCTTGCATGTCCCCACCATTATCCAAGGAATTCTGGCTGCCTTTTAATGCAGATTTTGCAATCTCTCGGTATCCTTGGCAGATCCACAGAAGATCTACGCAGCTGTTGTATAGTGTGAATAGCTTGCTTGAGAGCTTTGAGCAAGTTTTGTGTGCCCAATGCTTGCATATGCTGCATTGAAAACAATCTCGTTCTTCATAGGCTGTTGATGAAATGCAATTAGCGTTTCTTGAGTTGATAGCGAGCCTTCGGGTTGTATTACTACATTCCACATTTTTGTGTCGTCTGAAAATAGTATGGCTTTTGGCCTTAGCACACTCAGTAAAACATTTGTAAATGCGAGGAAAAGTGGGACACCAATTACGGACCGTTGTGGAACCTCGTGGATAACGACGATAGAACCGAACAGGGAATCAGAAGTACAATTTGATATGGTCCGTTGTGGGAGAAATGCATCAATCCAATCCAGCTCGAGACTTCAAATACCCTAATTGTAAAGCTTCTGTAACAACAATTCTGAGTTTACCCGATTAAATGTTTTCGAGACACCCAGAAAAATCACATCAACCACATTCCCTTCGTTGATTGTTCTAGTGTTTTCATCTCGAGCAAGAAGCCAGAGGGTTGAAAGAGACAATTTTTGCTGGAAGCCACATTAAGCCAGCGAGAGAATGTTAATCGTTTCTAATTGTTTCATCACGGAATCTGTCACAATGAACTCTATGACTTTAGATAACAATGCAAGGATGTATGTTGTCCGCAACTAGGGTTGTGCATCTTGTCCCAAAGTCATTAGTTTTGCTTTGACGTTTTCAGCAGTCACTGTTACGTTGGTCGCCTAAGGACATGGAGGATGGTGAAACCGGCTGGGAAGCTGTAGATCTTCAAATATTTGGTGCTGCAAAACTTTGGAATACTAAGTTTTCGGCAATTAAGCTGGTTCCTTTCTAGAGGCTGCAACTCTACCGACACAGCCTAAACCTGATATACCAAATTTAACTTCTCCCATTGGACTTGATACTCCTAAACAATATTTGAGTGCAAAAGATGAATCCATGTGCCAACAGCTCTTGGTATATCAGCTTATCTGTACAAATTAATATCGGGGATATTCTCAGCATTCGGCAATTATTCCAAGTGCAGTTTCTATTCCACAACTAAGCTGTCACACAACAGACAAATCCTCCATGGAAATTATGCCACAAAGGTTCAGAATAGATTTTCTTTTAGATTCCAAAGAAATATTAAGGTTCACAAGTTTGATAGGTGTACCACCGTTAAGACGTTGGCGGGGGGGGGCGGGGTTATAATCTATTCACAGACCTCGAAGATCATTCCAAATTCTTGGAGAAATCCATATTGTTTTTGTCTTTAAACAGAAAGTTCAACATTACCAGGTAGTACTCTCTTCTATTTTATCCCTTTTCACTCTGCGTTCCAATGGTTTTAAAAGCCATGTCATGTTTGCATCAGGCAACTCATCTAATAGCATTCGGAATTTCGATGGGGTCGATGAAATAATATAACTGGAACACTAATTTATAATCAACTATTTTCATACATTAAAAATTAGTCTTACTCATCCATGATTAACCTTACTGAACAAGGACGGGTTCATTCGTTGGTGTGTGGTAAGGGTATGAGTTCGATTTCACCAGTATGTAAATTCTCTACAGGGTGATGGGTATGTGAACTGCCGAACCAAACCAGTTAGTTTTATCCTACCTATTCTCCATCCACATTTCGACCAGTGCAGATGCGTGTTTCGGGGAAGATGAGAAAATAAATAACATGTAAAATATACCAATGGAATAACGATACGTCCCATTTTGTCCGGGGATCCTTTACGCAATGGACTAGCAACAGTGAACACTTTGGAACTTGGAAACATTGGAACTGTAACTCAGTATTATTTACTTAGTGTAGTTTATGTGGTGTATGAAATTGGCTGATATATACTGTTTATTTTCTTTTCTAGTAACTAGAAACACAGTAAATTTTCATGTGTACCCGTTTGTTTACGAGATGAAATATTGATTTTTATTCTGGAAACATTTTGTTTTGTGGATCGACTGGTTGGTAACAATTTGTTATTGTTTTCTCGGTTTGTCAGCGTGTCCAATAAGGCAGTATGATAGCCTACACTCAAGGGTTCTTAATGAAATATCACTGGGATACCAAACAAGAGTTTGTTGATTATACACAGCAACAATCTTTGCCCATTATTCGTATATCAACAATCAAGAGTAGAGTGGTGCAACTTTCCCCAGGATTATGTTCGAATTACTATGTTTGTTCCGGCAAAGGTCCGCCGTTTGATTTAATTTATTTTTTTAATCTGAGAGGATATCTGGTAATCACACTGCCTAGTTGGGTTTATCTACGATGATCTGGGGCGCCTTTGACTAAAATGTGATTTCATTAGGTG